GGAGGGGAGAGGTGGGCAGGGGGGAGGGTGGAGGATGGGAAAGGCAGCGGAGCACAACAGACACTAGTATGGCAATTTGTAAATCAATGGATGTGTAACTGATGTGATTCTGCAATCTGTGTATGGGGTGAAGGTGGGAGTTCATAACCCACTTGAATCAAAGTGTGGAATATGATATGTCAAGAAATTTGTAATGTTTTGAACAACCCACAATAAAAATTAAAAATAAATAAATAAAATAAAATAAAATGGCAAAAAAAAAAAAAAGAATACAGAATCAGATACAGAAGGAACAGCCACCTTTAGACTGTTTAATCAGCTATTATGTGTATACAAATATATTCTATATATGTGCATGATTATCTGTTTAGGTCTTTAGTGATTCTGCTTCTCTAATAAAACCCTGACTGACAAAAAAAAAAAAAAAAAAAAAAAAAAAAAGAAATGCTCTGTGAGGTCAGAGTTAGGCAAAGGGCAGGGCATTATAATATATAACGTCTACGCCATTTTGTTTTACACCATCCTATTCGAGATTAGCTTTATTTTGCAAAATTGTCCCTCGTAAAGTTACTCTTTGTTCTTCTCTTTGCTCAACACTGTAAGTCTAAAGAAAACCCCATTTCAATAGCTGAGATATTACTACTTACAGTCAACTATTGCAGAAAAAGAGGACAAAGAGAAAAGAAGCTGGTCCCCAGACTTCCCAAACATTAATTTTTCTTTAGTTTGTCAGAACCTAGAACACAAATAACATCAAAGTGTGGGCCAAGGACTTACTAATCCTATTAATTAAAAGGATAATATTTAATTTGCAGGAAAATAATGTATTTATCTAAAAGTTTATAGGGATTGGCCCAGGAGACAAAAGTTATTTGTAATCACAATATTCCAAACAAAGAGGAAGGATAAGATCCCCTGAATGAAAAAGATGATTACTGAATGATTAAGCATGAAGACTTCTTGTCCCTTTTCCCGTTACTTTACTTTCCTCTTCATTAAAAGCCCTCTGTACCCCTGAATTTCCTAAGATGGAGTTTTCAGGATGATGGCCTTGCCATCTTCTTAGAATAGGCCCTTGAATAAATCTGATTTCCTTCTCACTAACTCTTATCTCCAATGATTGGCTTCTGCACAGTGTGAAAGTGGACTTGTGTTCAGTATCAACATGAACAGAATTAGGGATTTCTTTAAAACGGCAGAATGTAAGCCAGGTCTTCAAAGTGGGTATTGTGGAGGATGGTAGGAATGGAAACCCATCTTGGAAGGGAGAGCTACATGAGTCCAAATGTAGAGTTATGACTGTGAGTGGATGATAGGGTCAGGTTCATGCAGGAAACAGCATCAGGTAATTTTAATTTTGGAAAGGATCTCTGGAGACTGAGTATGGAGGCCCTAGATTACTAAGAGGAGGGTTTTATCCTGAAGAGCAGCACTTTTCAAACTTTAACATCTCTCCTGAAAGCTGGGGAACCATTCTAATTAGAAGTCTGCATGGAGTCATGGGCACACTCACTTGATCTCCTACTTGCCTCCATACAATCCTCAGCCTCTTGAAGCATAGCCTAGAACCACTGCTAAAATCTGAGGTATGATATGACTTTCAAATATACATGAGTGATAAAAATAAAACCAAACCAAGCAAAGTACTGCCACAGAGGGTAAGAATCCTGAATATTCCTGAGCTGAGGAATGGCATTATCAACTATAATCTGATAGTCATGTTCAATATTATTCTAGGAGGAGTGCAGCCACAGTAGTCCTACATTAGGGGGCTAAAATATTAAATTAGAAGCAGTTGGATATATTGGAAAAAAATAAAGACTTGCTTCCTGGTATCACATTCATTTATTTCTGGATAAAATGTTAGTGTTGAGATGGCCTAGTGGCTCCTTATCTAGCTTCAGGGTAGAGTAAGGTCAATAGCTGAAAACAAAAAAGAAATTCCTATCCAACATAAGGAAAATGTTTCCAATAAACATAGTTCTTTAATATGGAACAAGCTACTGGCAAGGTAGTGAGCTTCTAGTAACTGAAAGCATTCAAGAAGAGAATGTATTTATGAGTTAATGGTGTCTTAGAAGGAATTCCTACATTCAGTGGGAAGTTGAACTGGAATACTACTAAAATTTCTTTCATACTTTGAGTTCCATGAAGTAGGACTATAGCTAGAGATCTAATAGTATCAAATAACGTTTTTTCAACATGGAAAAAAAAATCCTCTGCATGCAAAACAGCAAAGAGGCAGTAAGGAGAACACTGGGACTGCAAGAGAAAAGGGAATTATTAATCATTTAGTAATTGTTATTACCTTTGCAATTTTTCCCATTTCATGAATGTCTGCTTTCTGATCTTCAATATCCATGAAAGCAGTTTCAATTCTGCTTAAAATCTGTTCATGGTTAATGCAGGTATCTGGGAGTCCTTCGGGAAAGTAGAACCGTGGAATGTTTATGGACGACGGTGCATTCACAACATTGTTCACAGCAGGAACAGGGGAAAGAGGTTGAGGGCTAACTGGAAAAGTGGTTGGAGTTGGAAGTGGTGTTCCTGGTTTCTTTTCTGGTTTATTTTGAATCTGGAAGAAAAATGTGATTATAAGACACAAAAATTCTAAACTGTATATATTTCTTGAGAATCCTCACCAGTAATAGGAAGTAGTATATAAACACAAGAAACCACAATTACTCACTTTACTTGAGGGTAGTAGGCATATCTCTAGGAAGATTTAAATAAATGAATACATTATTTATTTATCAATACTTGAGTTTATATAGATTTATATTTTAAAAATTCTATAGGACATTTTCCCATCAATCATTTGGCAGATATTTCAAAATAATCAAAGAGCAGTATTAGCTGATAGAGTAAGGACTTTGAGGTGTACTGTTAATCTGCTGAAACTAGATTAGTATTTTTTAAAAATTTTTTTAGGGGCTGGGGATGTGGCTCAAGCGGTAGCGCACTCGCCTGGCATTCGTGCGGCCCAGGTTCTATCTTCAGCACCACATACAAACAAAGATGTGTTCGCCGAAAACTAAAAAATAAATATTAAAATTCTCTCTCTCTAAAAAAATTTTTTTAATTGTAGACGGACACAATACATTTATTTATTTTTTAAATTTTCATTTTATTTATTTATTTTTATGTGGTGCTGAGGATTGAACTCAGTGCATCACACATACAAGGCAAGTGCTCTACCACTGAGCTACAGCCCTAGCCCAGTAAATTCTTTTTGAAGATTGTTTTTAGACTTTCTGTTCTTAGTCTTTCCTCTCCTTCAATCAGCAGAAATGACAAGTTCTTTTTAAATACACAGATCTAAAATGCACTTGGGGTAGGGGGCTACTTTTACTTTCTTTTCTAGTTAACTTTGTTGAGGAAGAATCACTATCAAGCCCTGATGCTAAGAAAAACTTTTGTTATGAAAGTCAAAGCACTTTAGTTATGGTTGATTTACTTAATACTAAGGGGCATGCCATTTTACCCAAGATACTTATTTATCTCATTTTTGGTATATTCTTAATATGCAAGTTCTGTGGTCATTAATTTCATTACAACCAGACTCCCTTTACAGTTAAGTAACTCATTTATAGTTTATATCCTTCTTTTCTCCAAACCGAATTTGATGTGGTATACCATAAAGTGATATTAGAAAAGACAGTGAAAAGGTGTGTGGGGGGTGGGGAGGAGCAATTGGGAGATGGAGATAACTCAAGATTGAGGGAAAAGGGACAGAAGGAGTACACCATTGTTCAGGTAGGAGTTTGTTTCTGAGTTCTGAGAGTCCTCACAGAAAAAGCAAAAAAACAGATTCTATGAAGACTCGCAGTTTTAATTTCCACTCTTAATTAATAACCCAATCATTTATGCTCATAAGCATGGCACTATATGAGATGCTACATAAAGTATGAAAGACAGAATGGCTATTGACTGGCTAAGTTTATTTTAAATTCACTGATCACTAAGTATTGCTCTAATGTTCTCCTTCCTTAAATTAGCCTAATGCTACCCCTGAAGTCTGAACAACAATCCTACAATAAGCAATAGGCAAGGAAGAAACAGCACAGAGGGAAAGGATGCCAATGAAGAACTGAACAGAAAACAGTGATGGTTTACTGTGTCCTCAGGAAAGTTACTTAACCTTTTAAAATTTCAGTAATAAAACAGAAATTATAATCCCTACACCTTGGAAGACTGTTGTGAGGACTGAAGGAAATTAAAGAATGTAACGTGAGTAAAAGATTCAAAACAGTGCTGGGCACAGATCTGTCCTCATGGAAGAAAATGAGTGACAAAGCCAAAAGGTGGGGGTTCTCAAAAGATTATGTATAATTTGGCATAATTTTTAGATTCAATCATAAATAATCATTTCCATTCATAAAGCAATTTAAAGTTTACAAACCAGTTTGGATTAAACACACTGATTCTATTACTATTCTAAGTAAACATTTCTCTCTGCTTAATGCTGAATCTGCATATACAGATTCATGAGTCTATCGTAGTAGAAAATATTCTTAAAATTCTAAAATAAGGCACAACTCTTTCTTCAAAGCTTTAACTTGGTCACTTGTCTCTTGTCATTTCCTTCCCATTATTTTAAGCAGAAAGAGGTGTGAGAGACTACATGTGTTCAATCATAAAAATTCTTTGTTTCCCTAAAATGTTTGTTTTCCACGGTATGATATCCAGGGTAGTTATGAATAATTTCAGGGCAATTATAGCCATAAGATTTAAGACCAGTGGTGCCAGTGGGGGAGAAGGTTTGGAGCAAAATCTCCAATGTTAACTCTATACTTTTGCTCTGACAAAGTAAGTGACATTCAGCACAAACACTGGTTATCTGTCAAAGCTTTTATTTTAATAGGAAAATACTTGATTATATACTGCATATATTTTGCAATTCATTGTGTATTTCTTAACACAGAGCAATTCACTGATAGGCAAGAATTTATTAAGTCACTGGTTAATTTCATATTTAATAAAACTGATCAAGTTCTGTGGTCATTAAAAAGGAAATGATGTAAATAAAATGCATTTATTTTGAACTTTTGGGTATATCAATTTATTTTCCATTGAGTTCAATAGGATACACATAATTTAAACCTTAAAGTAGTGTAATAAAACTGATACTTTATAAACATTATACAATAAAAACTAGTAGAACAAATTTTGCCAGATTTACTGGTAAATTAGACAACTGCTCATATTGAATAAAGCTTTTCAGTCAATATAGGAGCAACATTAAAAAAATAAGCTGGATAAAGAATTTTAATTTTCTACCTTAGCGTTTCCTTATAAACGTAGTATTATTTAAATATTCATTCTAAATAGTGTTCTAACACTATTATATCACTGGAGGATTTCTAATATTTATCTGGTTTTGACCTACAAAGGGGGAAAATGGAATTCACATAGTTCACCCAAGTAATTTGAAATTATTCTGGGTCAGAATAACAATGAAACTATGGTTTCTGGATGGAATTTGGATGGCCAGTATTTGAGTAGCCCTTGATTTGTATTGTACGCAACGTTAGGCAACTTGTGTGGTAAGACACTGGCCCAAAGGTAGTAATCAAGAAAGTAGAAACTCTGCAAAGAAGTTATCACAGGCAGAAATCACTCAGTCTCACTGCTTGTTGAGGGAAATCACCTTTTCATAATCTAGAAGCCATCCTTCATTATTATCTACCTACACAGTGTATTACACATGTACACAATTGTTTATATATAAAAATACTTCTGCCTTTAAAAATATTACCAGGATCAATACTTTAAAAAAAACAAACAAAAAATCAAACATTCATTACTGATCCAAGTGTGTTAAACACAGTCTACTGATTCAAAGTGCAAATAAGGCTTCTAACACCAATTCTATCAAAGATTCCTACTAAAGATACTAGTATTTTTCTGGCTAAATTATAAATTATTTGTTAAGTTGTATTTTATTGTCTCTAAAACTGGATTCTCTCTCTACATGAGAAAAATGTGAGTACTGTATTCCAGATCCAGAAGGTCTATTTTTAAACCTGTTGGAATCCCTCTACAAATAGCTTTCTGCAAATAGCTGAATAGAGGACACAGATTAATTCCTTGATCTAATATCAAGATACAAGTGAGTTATAAAATTATTTGTGAGTTAGTTCACTGGGTGGTTTTATTAGTAATAAAAATATCTTAAAAGAAACACCCAAGTTTCAAACCTGTGTCTGCTGAAATGACTTCAGCCGCTTCTTAAACCTTGATGGGAGAACAAAATCACAGCCCCTTGCCAGGAAAGCTAACTCTCCCCTTAAATCCGGGTCCCTTCGTAAAGATGTTTCCTTGATCATCATCTTTGAAAAACGAACGATTACTTCGCAATTGTCCAGCACACTTCTGAAGATAGTCAAATTTAATAAGCTGTCAATCTTGTCAGGTAGAAAGGTATTTTTTTTCTTCTCGTCTCCCAAAGAAATTAAATTCAAGCATTATGCTCTCCCAGCCTCCAGGGACTACAATTCATGCTTGTCCTGACATGTAGCTGATTCCCAAATACAACCTGAGTTTTCAAATACCTGCTCATAATTTTCAAATGAAAAACACAGGCTGCAAAGGGCCTCCTGCTCCTTGTAGGTAGCTTTATGTCAAATTGACCTGCACATATTGAGAATACAGAGCCTTCTGGGAAAGGAAGCACCCACTACTCCAAGTACCAAAGTTAGAAACATTACAGCTGGACCTAAAAATAGCAACTTCTCAGATAATGCTAACTTCTTAAACTCAAGAGTATGTGAGGTGTCAATCCACATAAAGCAGTTTCTCCTAAAACGAGAGAGAGAGAGAGAGAGAGAGAGAGAGAGAGAGAGAGAGAGAGAATATGTAGAATATTTTTGGCTTTTGCAACTTAATATTTTATGAAAAAAGAATAGGCCTCTCATCAAAATGTAGAGAAAGAAATATTTATCCTTAAAGATTTGTAAAAAAAAATTGTTGGTCTCAGATTTAAAAAAAAATTAAAGCAGAAGACTTATCATCAAACCTACTTTTTTTGGGGAAATGATTTTGGATATATTTTGAAAATTTACTGTTAAAAGTATTATTTAAGAGAGTGGAACAACATAAGAAAGAAGTTTTTGATATATATGAGTTAATGAAATCTAGCTGAAATAGGTTTAAAAAGATACCAAATAGTAATTACATGGAATGTCCTGAATTTATGAGACTTTCTCTTTTGAGGAGCTAAAGGAATCATCTCAGATTTTAAAAATACCTATTCCATGATTTTCTCATATATTAAATACTGGATTTATTATTTACAAGTAAATTATCACTTGTTTTAATCATCATTTGTTTTAAATTTCAATACTTATTTTTAGTCAATCTTTTTAAAGTATTTTAATTAATACTTATTTTTAATCAAATCAGTATTATATTCTAGTTCTAGAAAATATAAAATGAGTATCACAGAAAACAGAAACAAAAAGTAGCTTACAACCTTCTTTTACTATCTAATTTAGTGGTCATTAAATAATTTGGTTTTCCACTGTTTCCTACAATGTTAAGTCAGCTTTTCCCCACTCATTTCAAGATATTCTG